CAAATGCACGTGCACACGCACAGGCACACATCAACAAATGCACACACACAGACTCACACTGTCATACATGGACAGAAACACACACTCGAACACACACACACATACTTGACACAAACACACATGTACAGATGCACACACACAAATGCACGTGCAGAGAAGCGCGCACACACACACATACACACACAGGCACACACACTTAAACAAACACACACATACTTTACTTGACACATAAACACATGTACAGATGCGCACACACACATCCACATACACAAATACACGCACGCATGCACACACACATATACAGGCACACATAAACAAGTGCACACACACACACACACAGTCATACACTGAACACACACACATGAATAAGCACACACGCACAACCACACTCACACAATGTCAAACATACACACATGCACACACACAGAAACATATGCACAAACATGTAAACCCATAAACAGACTGACACACACAAACACACATGCCCATACTCAAATGCGTGCACACACACATTCTCCAAACCCATAAACGGACACAATCACACACATACACACACTCTTGTACATACACAATTGCAAGCACACACTGACATACATGCGCGTGCTCACACACACACACACACATTGGATTCCTCTCCTCTATTCAAATTGAATGCTAATAATACTTTATCATCATCACTCATATGCTCCTCTCCACTGGCTTTGATTTCCATATACAGGACATTCAGTTCAGTTCATTTAACAGGCGTATTAGCGTCCACCAGCTCGTCACAATTAGCAATCAAATCATTTAGTGCACTAATGTACGCTCGTCTTGCAAAGCCTTGATTGAGATTATGAAATCGACGAGTTGTGCAACTCTCTCTGTGTGCTAATGTGCCAAAATGACCACTTTAATTGTTGGGACAGAATGATTGTTCCAGGAGAGTCAGGTCCTGTTACTAGTTCACGGTTATAAATCGAGGAAATAAGTCGATTTCACAGACGTTGCATCATAAATCGCTCATGTAGTCTGAGTAAAAGCCAGGTCAAAATAAATATGGGATAAATGATATCGGCTTTGTTGAGTTTGGTGTGTTTCTGAGTACACAGCAAGCAAGCATGCATTTGGACCAAGCGGCAACCTCCCGCTCTCCCTCGTGAAGCTCATACGGAAGTAACTGAAACTGCAATTAATGGAAATTCTGCTAGTCCTGCCTCCATAATAGAGCAGATTTCTATTGACCCCAGTGTTGAAGTGGCCGACTTTACAGCAGATAAAGGTGTTTACAGCCTGGTACAAAGACAGAGGTTAGTGCAGCTAATATTACCATCATATAATATTATAGGTTACAGCTAATATTACCATCATGACAACCGTGAGGAGGTGAATTTGTTTATAACTCATCTGTTTCCATATTAAGTTATATATTTATTATATAAATATATATATATATATATATATATATATATTTTTTTTTTTTTTTTTTTTTTTTTTTTTTTTGGAGCAAATAGATATTATACAATTTCAATCAACAATATACAAAACGCTTAAATATTTTTGTGTGAATATACATACAAAACCAAGCAGAAAAGACAAAAAATGTGGAAGTAGAATACAATTTTGTAGCAAGAAGTAAAATAAGAGTTTATATATAAAAATGGAAGAAAATACGCGTTTATACAGATACTGATTGTAAGAAGTCTATGAAGGGTTGCCATATTAAGTTATAATAAGTCTGCATAATTAAGGGCGTTGCCACTTGAGTGACAGCTAGGGCTCGCTTTGTTGCTGTCACTTCACGTCAGCTGATTCCGGCTGATTAGCCACTGAACTTGGCATATACATGGATTTTTTTTTTTTTTTTTGAAGCTTTACACAGTCTGTTGCCTTTTGGAATTGTTTCCTACAATTATCAGATGATATGGCATGCTGTGTGCACTTAATTGTGCTCACAAACCTTACATGTGGCCTCCGTTTCCCAGTTGAGTGAAATTATATACTTATATTTCATCTCTATAAATGTATTTGTTTTATTTAAGACCTTTTTTTTTCTTTAGAGCAGTAATGCACTTCAGAATCTGCCAGATAGATTAGCTGTAGGCTGTAGAAAAGTCATCTGAAGCGTTGTCATACAGTGTTAAGCCTGTATTTCATCAATAGTCCTGCATTTACTAACACAGACTTTATCTGATCATGCATACTGTAGTATTATTAACCTTAGTGAACTGATAAACCATAATAAATGCTGTAAAATATTTTACTTTTTACTACAGTACATCGTATTGTAGTAAAAACACCCCATAGTTGCAGAAAACTACAGTATTGGGTCCTTTGTTTATATCATTGTAGTTGTGTTATTATAGCAACCGTAGAATAACTACGACAGATTAATTACTATAGTTGTTGCCATGGCAACTGTAAAATCACCACTACAGATCAATTACTATAGTTGTGTTACCATAACAACTGTAGAATCATCCCAACAGACTAATTACTACAGTTGTGTTACCATAACAACCGTATAATCATCAAAACAGATTCATTTCTATAGTTGTTGTGTTACTAAAGCAACCGTAGAATCACCACAACAGATTAATCAGTAGAATTGCGTTACCATAGCAACTGTGGAATCATCACAACAGACTAATTACTATAGTTGTTGTGTTACCATAACAACCGTAGAATCCTCACAACAGATTAATTACTATAGTTGTTGTGTTACCATAGCAACTGTAGAATTAACACAACAGATTAATTACTACAGGTGTTGTGTTGCCATAGCAGCTGTAGAATCACCACAACAGATTAATTAGTATAGTTGTGTTACCATAGCAACTGCAGAATCACCATAACAGATCAATCACTATTGTTGTTGTGTTACCATATCAATTGTAGATTCACCACAACAGATTATTTCAAATACTTTACTATAGCACAGTTCAAACACACTTGTATTTATTGTACAATTTTATTTCTTTTTGCATCACATCAATTAAATATGTATCTGATCCCACTGTCTGCTTCATTTGTTTCATTTTGTGAAACCCGAGGTCTTGCATTAGTCAAAACTTTATTTTTTCCCCAATTAGCAACTTCCGTCACCCGGAATGACCTGCAGGATTTACGATTCCGAATATTGCTAAAGCTTCCCGTACATCAGCACCATCTGGCTCTCAGAACATCTTCGTTAGACTGAGTTTTTTTCTATTAATCACTTTATCTGCTGTGATGGCGGAGCTCGACCCGGTCTGAACTGGGAATCTCTCGCTTTAATTAGCTTGAGTTAATTCACATAAGAGCTGCCGCTTTCCAGTAGCGCCCACAATAGAGATACGGTTATGAATATATCTATACAGCAGAGCAGAGATCATAAACAAACCCTGACAGAGACAATGAAGAAACACAATCATGACCAGCTGTGCATTATGCATGGAGGAACTGTAAACAAAACTCAGGCTATATGAGGACAGGTCACTTCAGGTATAATGAGGTATAAATCTGTGATGAGCATGTCCCGTTGGAGTATATATGTTAAAGGTGCCAAATTCTGCATTAGTTTAATAATTAAAATGGCTATTTGATATCTTCATAGGATGTATATGGCTCAGGTAAGTTCAGATCCAACAATCAGAAGGTCCATAATTGACCATATTTGGATCGGTCATGAAAATTAATGAGCTAATAATGGTTTATTGTAGTATCAAAATACCTTATCATTGTGGAAAAAGAGAGTATTGAGTCATTTCTTTATAATATTGTAGTCGATGTGTTTCCATAGCAACTATAGAATCAACACAACAGATTATTTTAAGTGCTGTACTATAGAAATACCCCAACAATCAGATGGTTCATAATTGACCATATTTGGATTGGTCATGAATGTTTATGAGCTAATAATGGTGTATTGTCATATCAAAATACCCTATAGTTGTAGAAAAATACAGTATTGGGTCATTTTTTCCTCATGTTGTTGTAGTTGCTGTGTTACCATAGCAACAGTAGAATCACCACAACATATTTCAATCAAGTAATTTATTATAGAAATACCCCCAACAATCAGAAAGTCCATAATTGTCCCTATTTGGATCTGTCGTGAATATTAATGAGCAATTAATGGTGTGTTGTTGAATAAAAATACCTTATAGTTGTTGAAAAAAAACTGTGTTGGGTCATTTCTTTATATTATTGTAGTTGCTGTGTTTCCATAGCAACTGTAGAATCACCACGACAGAATAAATCAAGTACTGTACTATAGAAATAGTGCTACAATTAAAAGGTCCATAATTGGCCATATTTGGATCGTTCATGAATATTAATGAGCTATCAATAGTGTATTGTTGTATAAAATACCCTACCGTTGTGGAAAATACAGTATTTAGAAGTTTTTAGTCATTTAGAAATACCCCCAACAATTAGAAAGTCCATAATTGACTCTATTTGGATCTGTCGTGAATATTAATGAGCAATTAATGGTGTGTTGTTGAATAAAAATACCTTATAGTTGTTGAAAAAAACAGTGTTGGGTCATTTCTTTATATTGTTTTAGTTGCTTTGTTACCATAGCAACTGTGGAATCACCACAACATATTAAATCAAGTACTTTACTATAGAAATACCCCCAACAATAAGAAGGTCCATAATTGACCCTATTTGGATCTGTCGTGAATATTAATGAGCAATTAATGGTGTGTTGTTGAATAGAAATACCTTATAGTTGTTGAAAAAACTGTGTTGGGTCATTTCTTTATATTATTGTAGTTGCTGTGTTTCCATAGCAACTGTAGAATCACCACGACAGAATAAATCAAGTACTGTACTATAGAAATAGTGCTACAATTAAAAAGTCCATAATTGGCCATATTTGGATCGTTCATGAATATTAATGAGCCATCAATAGTGTATTGTTGTATAAAATACCCTACCGTTGTGGAAAATACAGTATTTAATAATTTTTAGTCATTTAGAAATACCCCCAACAATTAGAAAGTCCATAATTGACTCTATTTGGATCTGTCGTGAATATTAATGAGCAATTAATGGTGTGTTGTTGAATAAAAATACCTTATAGTTGTTGAAAAAAACAGTGTTGGGTCATTTCTTTATATTGTTTTAGTTGCTTTGTTACCATAGCAACTGTGGAATCACCACAACATATTAAATCAAGTACTTTACTATAGAAATACCCCCAACAATAAGAAGGTCCATAATTGACCCTATTTGGATCTGTCGTGAATATTAATGAGCAATTAATGGTGTGTTGTTGAATAGAAATACCTTATAGTTGTTGAAAAAACTGTGTTGGGTCATTTCTTTATATTATTGTAGTTGCTCTGTTTCCATAGCAACTGTAGAATCACCACGACAGAATAAATCAAGTACTGTACTATAGAAATAGTGCTACAATTAAAAAGTCCATAATTGGCCATATTTGGATCGTTCATGAATATTAATGAGCCATCAATAGTGTATTGTTGTATAAAATACCCTACCGTTGTGGAAAATACAGTATTTAATAATTTTTAGTCATTTAGAAATACCCCCAACAATCAGAAAGTCCATAATTGACTCTATTTGGATCTGTCGTGAATATTAATGAGCAATTAATGGTGTGTTGTTGAATAAAAATACCTTATAGTTGTTGAAAAAAACAGTGTTGGGTCATTTCTTTATATTGTTTTAGTTGCCTTGTTACCATAGCAACTGTGGAATCACCACAACATATTAAATCAAGTACTTTACTATAGAAATACCCCCAACAATAAGAAGGTCCATAATTGACCCTATTTGGATCTGTCGTGAATATTAATGAGCAACTAATGGTGTATTGTTGAATAGAAATACCTTATAGTTGTTAGAAAAAACATTGTTTAGGCCTTTTTTCTGCTGTTAAAATGGTGCACACGGGTCATTTTTGACTTCATAATTTGATGTCTTGTGTTTGAGCTTAACATAAGAGACTTGTTTTAATTGTCCTCCAGTAATTTGTTGGTGGTTTTTTTTCAGGTTGCCCGATGGGAGCACAGGACTCGTGGTCTGACCCGTCTGTTTGGTGGGCCATATGTGGCCTGTTATTCGCTGGCCGTCCTAATCCTGCTGCTCAATGTTTACCGGAGCCACAGGTAACATCATCTACCACTGCTCTTATGTCAGCAATTCTCCAGATAATGCTGTCCATTGGTCAACTGACCCATTTTATCCAATCCTGCATAAGAGCGCAGGTTCAGTGTTTACTCTGCTCTGCTATATTGGCTTCATCCATAATAATACAGTGACATCTGTGTGACGTGTTCATCTGACCAGCAGCACATTCAGCGCTTCTTTCATCTCACTGTTGCCATGACGCTCTCGTATCCGAGCTGCTGCTGCTGTCAGCGATGTCGCATGTGACTCTGTGTGTGTTTGAATGTATGTGTGTGTTTGAATATGTGTGCGTTGTGAGTGTGAGTGACTGTTTTTGACCGTATAGTAATATAAAGTATAGTCAATTAGATGAATTGTATGTGTAGTTTATTTGTTTGCCGCATGCATAGGTTGTTTATTCAAATCTAATCAATCAGAAGAGGGCTTTACTATCTTTTATAATGCATTATATTTACTGTGTTTTTAATCATTTTATTTTTATAATTTATATTTTCATCTACGTTTTTTTACTTTAATTTGATACTTTTAATGTTTTTTTTTTGCAATTTTTTAAATTTATTATTTGTGTTATTATTCTATTTTATCCCTAATGCGTCCTTTTTTTAATCATTTTCATTTATTTTATTTGCATTTTGTTCATTTATTAAACTGTGTTTATTTCATTTTATCCCCTCTTTTACAGATTTAACTTAATTTTATTTGCATTTATTTAATTAAAGTTCATTTTATTTGAATTATGTTAATTTATTAATTGAGTTTTTTTTATCCCTGATGTCAGCTTAGTTCATTTATTTTAATTAGCATTTTATTTACCTAAAACTTATTTTATTTTCATTTTGTTCATTTATTACTTTTTTTCTAGTTTTTTTTATCCCTGATTCCAGCTTTTTAATTTAATTTAATTTAATTTAATTTAATTTAATTGTGTTTTTATTTAATTTTATCCTTAATGCCACCTCTTTTACATATTTAATTTTATTTAATTTGCATTTATTTAACTAAAACTTATTTTATTTCCATTTTGTTCATTTATTAATTGATTTTTTTTATCACTGATGTCAGCTTTTTAATTTAATTTAATTTATCTTAATTTAATTTTGTTGCAATTTAATTTTATTCTTGATGCCACCTCTTTTACATATTTCATTTTATTTAATTTGGATTTTATTTAACTAAAACTTATTTTATTTTTTGTTTTTTATTCCTGATGCCAGCTTTTTTATTTAATTTTAATTAATTTAATTTAATTTAATTTAATTTAATTTAATTTAATTTAATTTAATTTAATTTAATTTAATTTAATTTAATTAATTTCAAGAGATTTGGAGTGGTTGTAAGAAAGTGTCTGGTCCAAAATAATAATAATATCATAAAACAATAATAATAATCTCGTAAAATATCATTATTGCAACACATTACACTAACAATATATATTAATTAACAATAATATCTCATATGTTCTCAGTATTGTCCATTCCTACTATATTACACCCACTTCTGTCCAAACAACTGATGTTGCATTACCAGAGCCCTTCAAAGAGTGTGTGTGTGTGTGTGTGTGGAATTATCCAGATCTTTATTAAGAATCTGTGTTTTTAGTGTTGCTCATTTTTTCCACCTTCCTAAATGACGTCTGCAGTTTTTCCGTCTGCAGTTTTTCTGCGCAGCATGTGTGTGTGTGTGTGTGTATGTCACAGTGACAGTACACTCATCTTTTCATGCCAATGGAGAACCACCATCTGTGTGTTCAGTCACACGTGAGGCTTTCTTAAAGACGGACACACACAGAGACCATAAAGGCTGTTCTAGCTCAGAAAAGTCCTCTTTCAGCAGCTGTTATTTTAATTCCTGATCAAGATTTAGCTTTTATTTGTTCAGTAAAACTTTAGTTTTATGTAGCATCTGTGCGTAATGCATTAATTATGCAAATATTATTTATGTTGCAATGCATTATATTGTTTATGTACCTTTTGATGCCTTGCTGCATGAGAAATGAGTCGCATGCTAAGCATTTTAATGCATTTTTTTCGCTAAAGGTGTATAAAACATTTATATATAAATAATATTATTAATAATAATAGTATGCTGTTTATTGATTTGGGAAATGCATTTAATTTGTAATATACTTTTCTTAAACTCTTACTGTTTGCTACTTTTATTTATGATTATATGCACGATATATCATTGCATCAAAATACTGTTTATAATGACTAATTACTAAATCATTTTATATCCATTTTTATCTGCGTGCAACTGTCATTTTTTAATGTCTGTATCATTTTTATTATTTATATAACTTACATTTTTAATTTCATTTTATTTTACTTGCATTTTGGCAATTTATTAATTGTGTTTTTATTCACATTTTTATTTTATTTTATCTCAGATGCGTCTTTTTTATATTTATTTTATTAGCATTTTATTTGCATTTGGTTAATTTATGTTTTTTTATTTAATTTCATACCTGGTGCAGATTATTTTATTTTATTTACGGTTTGTTCATTTATTAATTGTGTTTTTATTTAATTTATCCCTGATCTGACTTTTTTAAATATTAATTTTATTTGCATTTTATTTGCATTTGGTTAATTTATTAATTATGTTTTTTTTATTTAATTTCATTCCTGATGCAACCATTTTTTATAAAAAAATATTTTAACTTATTTGCATTTTATTTAATTTGTTTGCATTTAGTTATATTAATTGTTTTACTTTTTTAAGCCCGATGTGATCTTTTTATTTATTTATTTATTTATTTATTTATTTTACTTTTTCATTTTGTTTGCATTTTATTTTATTTGCATTTTAATAATTCATTAATTTTGTCTTTATTTTATCTTATCCCTAATGCAACCCTTTTTTATATTTATTTTGCTTGCATTTTATTTGCTTTTGGTTAATTTATTAATTGTTTTTTTTTTTTCATTTCATCCCTGATGCAACCTTTTTATATATTAATAAAAAAAAATCATTTGCATTTGATTTTTTTTTTGCATTTTGTTATTTTAATTTTTATTTGTTTATTTTTATTTGTTATATTAATTTTATGTTTTATTTGCATTTTATTTTGTTTGCATTTCATTATATTAATTTTGATTTAATTTATTTTATGCCTGATGTGAACTTTTTTATTTTATTTATTTGTTTGTTTAATTTTACTCTTTTTTTATTTTATTAGCATTTTATTTTATCTGCATTTTGTTAATTTATTAAGCAGGGTTTTATTATATTTTATCTCTGATGCAGCCCTTTTTATATTTATTTTATTTGCAATTAGTTAATTTATTAATAATTTTTTTAATTTTATTTCATCCCTGATGCACTCTTTTTTTATTTGCATTTTGTTAATTTATTAATTGTGTTTTATTTTATCCCTGATGCAACTTTTTATATAATTTTTTTTATTTGCATTGTATTTTATTTGCATTTTGTTATATTAATTGTGTTTAATTTTTTATGCCTGATATAACCCTTTTAATTTTATTTTATTTGCAATTTGTTCATTTATTAATTGTTTTTAATTTATTTTATTTTACTTTTTTATTTAGTTAATTTTTAATTGTGATTTTATTCAGTTTATCCTGATGCATTTTTATTTATTCAACTTAATTTAATTCACTGTACGCTATATTGGTCAGACTTACAAAGCTGAATTATTCACAATCACATCTTTCATTTTCATGTGTGTGTCTGTAGAGAGCAGGTTCTGCAACGGTACATCGAACACATCTCCAATCCCCCAAACACACACCCTTCAAAAGAAATCAGCATACGGATTAACATCTATTATATTTAGCTGCATTCCATTTATAATTAGACATACATTAGCATTTAATCATCACATGCAAATGCATAATAATGTCTTCATCGCTGTCTATGATTCATTATACTGAGGTTTCCTGCAAATCCTCCAAAATCTGGAGCTATTCATGCAGTCTCTGAGGATCTGAAGCTTTGACGGTTAAACAAAAGTGTCTGTCGGAGGCTCCGCTAGGCACAAGTTCATAATGAAAACAGCAGAACTTTCCTGCGTGATGTTATAATGAAATAATCTCAGGATCAAGCTGATTAAATTCAGTTTGTTTTACCAGGATGCAATTTTTGCAATGGATTTGTGTGTGTGCGTACCTGTGTGTGTGTGTGTGTGTGTGTGTGTGTGTGTGTGTGTGTGTGTGTGTGTGTGTGTGTGTGTGTGTGTAATTCTACAGAATAAGATGCTGATATGTGATGGTGAAACTGACCTGAAGCTGACCTTTAATTACAGCATTTGTCTCTGCTTTATAGTGTGTGTGCGTGTGTGTGTGTGTGTGTGTGTGTGCGTGTGTGCGTGCCTGCCTGTGTGCCTGCCTGTGTGTGTGTGTGTGTGTGTGTGTGTGTGTG